CATGTTAAGCAGCAGAAATTTAGACATAAACTCAACATTTTTATTTTCATCTAGGAAAAACGCTTAGACTTCAGGAAGCCGTAGTAGACATGACGCTTGCACATGGCACTGTCACTGTCATCAAGAATGACATTCAGGTCATGTTTGCTGCCCGCTTCTCTTATTTGCTTTATAAAATCTCGTAAACTTTTTAAGAAAAGTGATCTGTCTCTTATAGAAAGCAGCAGAAATTTAGACATAAACTCAACATTTTGATTTTTTTCTAGGAAAAAGTGCGCTTAGACTCCACGTAGCCGTGGTAGACTTGACGCTTGAGCATGTCACTGCATCAAGAATCACAGTCAGATCATGTTCGCCGCCTGCCTTTCTTATTGCTTTATAAAATCTGGTTAACTTTTTAAGAAAAGTGATCTGCAGGGAGCCGTGGTAGACATGACGCTTGAGTATGGCAATGTCATCAAGGAGCCGTGGTAGACATGACGCTTGAGCATGGCAGGCGATTTCATTTGCCTTTTTCTTGGTCTGTTTTCATAGGTTGTCCTGCTCTGTTGCATTGGTAATATTGTTTTTTTATGCCTTTCTTTTCAGATGTTCCACAATATTTTACCAATGGGGAGCATTCTGAGGCCTCAACGTTGGACTTCCAGTTTAGAAACTTTAGAAAGATAAATTTTATCACTTTAAGAAATTATAATGCAACAAGCAGTGATAAATTATGTCTTTTTTTGTAGGCAATAAAGGTTTTTGAAAGTCGATGGTAACTCTTTTCTCTTCAAGCTGTGTTTACGAAATGATACAAAACAGAAAGAAAAAATTTTTATAGAAAAAGCTTGAATGCTAGACTCCTTACGTTTTTTACACATTTTCTACCTTGAGCCTGTTTTCGCAAATAATAAATCGAATTCTACATACTATTGCTAGCATGGAAACCATTTTAAAATCTACCAAGAGGCTGTGGTTTGATCGTGAAATGTGTTGATCGCTGTTGTTTTGTTTACCTTCCATATTTTTAAAAGGTAAGTTCTGAATGTAACCTGAATCTCATCAGAAAGTTGCTGTAGCAGTTGTGATATTTTGTGAAACTTTGAACTACATTGCAAGCACATGGCTTTTCTCTTGTTTGTCCCTGCCAATCTGGCTTGTCATTTTCTTTTGTCAAATCATGCTTTCAAGATATTGGCAGCCCAGGTGGAATTTCTCTGACGTTGCAAAATTGCAGTAATCGCACTTGAATTTCTGGTCGTTTTCCATTACTTTCTCTACTCACCGCTTGTTTTCCTGCATTGCCTTCTAATCACATTTTTACCATACCATAGCATGTTTTTGTCACGCTCAAAATATGAGATTTTCCAACAGGTTTAATTAACTGAAAATTGCCAAACCCAATTTTTATGAAGTGATGTTTGGAAGTAAAGTTTCCTAAACAATTATTTTCCTGATCTTTTTTGAAATATTGTTTTGGTTGATTCTTAGCTTTGAGGTGCACTTCTTTATCTAAATCGAACATGCAACGTGACCAACAAATCATACTACCGTGTAAATGCTTAAAGCGGATCCTCTTTATATTATACTATTCAATCTGTTCACATTTATACCCTGACCTTGTCATTCATTAGTCATGTGATAAAAGGAAGTTAAAGTTGCCTACCTCTCCATTGGAGTCGGAATCTGATGGCAGGTTTTCTTTGCTGCTCTCTTTGTTACTGGCAATAAATCTGCTTGTCGCAAATTAGCCTTTGTTTATGTTGTCTTCTACCATCCATGCTATAAGCACTTGTCGCAGGTATCTTGCATACTGTGTCAGCATTTGCAAGTACAGGTATGGAAGTTGTTTTTTGTCAAGAAAAAGAATGACTTTGCAAGGCAGCATATTGCCTCTACTACTATTGCAACCTCTCTTTGTTACTGGCAATAAATCTGCTTGGCGCAAATTAGCCTTTGTTTATGTTGTCTTCTACCATCCATGCTATAAGCACTTGTCGCAGGTATCTTGCATACTGTGTCAGCATTTGCAAGTACAGGTATGGAAGTTGTTTTTTGTCAAGAAAAAGAATGACTTTGCAAGGCAGCATATTGCCTCTACTACTATTGCAACCACTCCACAAATATAGCTACCAGTCTGCATTTGGTATAATATGTTGCACACGAGTTACTGCAAAAGTGAGCACCATTTTTTACTTGGTGGAGTCAGGGCAGTTGACAACTGTTGTGTTACTCATCCTCGTTGAAAACAGCAAAATACACCCTCTTTACTTCATTGAGCAGCCCAGTCAGCACTTTCCCAACCAGATAGTCACAATAGTAAGGGGTATTTTCTTTCATGTCGAATAAACCAAAGCTAAAGTAGTTCCCTTGTCTTTCATTCGATACCAAAAATACTTTGCCACTGCTGTCCCTGCCTACATTCATCATGAGCATTAAACCAGTTGATTGTGCTTTACGCCGGGGAATAATTTTTTTTACATTTCTTTGAATGTTCCTGCTGTGCTAGTTTATGTACAGCAGAAGGGTTTCTTCTTGAATGACATTCAGTCTGTCCTGGAACCATAGCATATGGTCACAACAAAGCTCCTGATTGCCACCAATCCAAGATAAACAGCTGGCAATATCCCCATGCTTAGAATATTGGTGCCATATCCACGATGTGACCACAAATGCGTTTTGAATCTGTGCAATGGATGTTTCTTGGAATGTTTACGAACTGAGTAAGGTGCCAAAAACAAGGCCACGCGAACCAGTCCACCTCTCTCTCTACCTGCCTTTTCATTGCTCTGGCTGTATGAAAACGCAAAGCCATTTGAATGGCTCTTTCGTCGTAAACAGCTAATGAAGATTCTATGAAAATGTTACCGGCCACCACTTGTTGTCTTGATCCTATCATATCCAACCAGTGCCATAGCAGATCCTCTGGAGGGATGAAGTCTTGCATCACGGGATGGTAAGCTGCTGGTGGACAGTGATTGGTAATTTGCATATCATACTGTGTTGGTATTCACGAACCAGATATTTTGCATCTGTATGCATCTTTTTTCGAGTAGTTGGTAATGGAAACCTCATTGAATTTTCTTCAGCAAGTATTATCTTACGTGATTGAATTTCATAGAGCAACAAAGGCAAAGTAATTAAGAAGAAAGTATTTCATATAGCAAGCTTCATATAATATTGATATTTATATAGGCTTAAGAAATTTGACAGAAATATTTTATGTTTGAACCATAGTCATTGAAACGAAAAGTCTGGAAGCAAACAATACCCTATTGTTTTTTTTCCGTTGTTCATGAGTTTATGCTGAAAAAAGCGCAACAACCACATGAAGGTGCACATTTCAGAATCATGGCGGAGAAATCACAGGCCGCTCTAGCTTCCGATGATCTTGAAGATATATTATATTTAGTTGAAGGTTGTTTTCCTGGATAATGATGATGATTTCATAAAGAAGATAGCTGCTGAGGTACCTGGAGATGGAGAAAATTGCTTTGGGTTTAAAATGTAATGTCTGCGAAAAGGCCTCTAGATCTCACCATGGACTAACCAGGCATTTCAATTCAAAGCACGGAAAAGTATATGATTGTGACACTGGTACAGTGTCAGGCTCTGCAGGAAATATGCCACTATCTTTACCCTTGTCTCTCTCTTCTTCATCTGAAGAAATTAGACGCCGGAAGTTGCATCCTCTTCAATTAAAAGCCATAGTTTTGAGGTGTCCTGAAAAGGTATTTTTAGATGAATGTTATCCTCCATTTTTCCGACAGAAATTTCCCAAAGAAGCATTAATTTTTACACATGATGATGCTATAGAGTTATGGTCTAAGTTGACAAATGTCATCAATAGTTTTAAAGGCAATGCTGAAAAGTTTTATTCTGGTTTTTATTCATTGCTACTTCATAATGTTCTTCCGTCAAAGCTTGATGAAGCTCCAGATACAAATGCACTGATGGCTGAAATGGCAACCCATTTACTAATTCATTTGTCTGGTAATAAACTTGCCTGTTTGGAAACTTTTCATAAACCAAAGCCTTTGTCAGAGAAAGAAAAGAAAAGCCTTCAATACCTTGCTGGATTAATTTTGCATAAACTGTATTCTAAATTCCTCTATTCAACAACAATTATTAAACAAAAAAAATACCAACAATAAAAATACCATTCTGCAATCATGCAAAGTGCAGAGTGATGACACCCAATCTCTTATCAATGTCTGGACCGAGGAGGATCATGGAGAGTCAACAAAAGGGTTGAGAATGTCTTCCTGGATGCTGAATTGTTGTTTCGGTCAAAAACGTCTTCTTTTATAACATGAATAATTTGCAAAGACATAGTTACTGAACTATTGCAAGATTCCTCTGTCTTATCCTATTATAATGAAACCTGTTTGAATGCCAACCTTCAAATTTATAAAGATGTTTGCATGGATCTACTTGAGCACATGCTAAAACTGTATATAAGAGTCAGAACTTTTTCTTTAGCCAAGGATGTTAGGGAGAAACATAAAGTTGCCAAACGACAGTCAAATAAAAGATTTGTCTGTGCTGAAATTAAAAAAGGTAGCTTCTCCAAAGAGAATAAACAATGATGGCAAAACTGAGTCAGAACTTTTTCTTTTGCCAAGGATGTTAGGGAGAAACATAAAGTTGCCAAACGACGGTCAAAGAAAAGATTTGTCTGTGCTGAAATTAAGAAAGGTAGCTTCTCCAAAGAGAATAAACAATGATGGCAAAACTGAGTCAGAACTTTTTCTTTAGCCAAGGATGTTAGGGAGAAACATAAAGTTGCCAAACGACAGTCAAATAAAAGATTTCTCTGTGCTGAAATTAAAAAAGGTAGCTTCTCCAAAGAGAATAAACAATGATGGCAAAACTGAGTCAGAACTTTTTCTTTTGCCAAGGATGTTAGGGAGAAACATAAAGTTGCCAAACGACGGTCAAAGAAAATATTTCTCTTTGCTGAAATTAAGAAAGGTAGCTTCTCCAAAGAAAAGGGACAATGATGGCAAAACTTCATCTATTTTTTCCTATTCTTCTTTTATTCTCTTCTTTTTTTAATAGTCAAATAATTAAAAAAAATTATCGGTTGTCAAAAATAACAGTATAAATGTAAAATACAAACAGAACAGTTTAAAGCAGTTTAAAGCCTGGCAATATTTAGCAAGGCAAATACTAAATACTATGTATGTTGGGATATTTTTTGGGTTTTGTGTCATCCATATGTATATATATATATATATATATCTTGTGATGAGTTTAAATACAAAGATAAAGTTCAGGAACAAAGCAAAACAGCAACGAGAATCTAACATGGATACTCGTCCTAGAAGTAATGAATGTGCAGAAAAAAATTTTACCCTACCAGTTTGATAAAACACCCTTGAAAAGCTACACTAAATACTTGTTGGCTGGCCAATACTTTTAAAAATATGACTGATGATGATGGTCAACATTTTTGATATTTGCATTAAAAATATTGAAAAATGAAAAAAGGTACTTTTCAGACAACATTTGAAATTTTATGCACCTGTTGCTTCCCTGTCGATGTCATTTCTTTACTGAAATTGCAGCCTTGCACCAGCTTTATCACACCATATCTTTCAATGACCCGCAGAAAGAGAAAAATAAGGTTCTAGAAATGTTGGCTGTGTTACAATTTTTTTCAGTGTCAAAAATTTTCATATTTTATATCTAAGTAGTTGTAGTTGTGTTAAAGGCACGATGCCCATGCTGTATAACTTTGAGATCGTCTAGCTAGAGAGATATTCATTTTCATATGGATAGCCCAGTACCCATGTAAAAGGAAAGCCTATCCATATAATTTCTTATCCAGTTCAAAATTTATCCGGGGTCGTGTAAACACAGCTTAAGATATGCTTGATATTTTATCATGTCAGTTAAATTTATATGCGAAATACATTATGCAGGAGAAAACACATATGACCTGGAGAATTGGCCTCGAAAATCGGGCAAGAAAATAGCAAAAAAGGGCCTCGATTTGTTAGATGTTAAATGTATGTTGAAGTGCAAATGACACATAAATTTTTATTCGCTTCAACCATCAAAGAAACATCACTGGGAACGATGGTGAACTTAGGTTTTTCATTTGCGACTTACTTTCTTCAAAAATTGGGGTTTTCTGACACCCACTAAAGTTGTTGTGTATTCTTCGAAAAGAGCTGAGCTTTTGTATGGATTCACTATGTGTTAGCACTACTGTTGTCCTTCTAATAAATCGTTTTTGCATGATTATTACTCAAGCGATGCCAAAAAAAAATCAGAAAATAATCTAGGTCAATCTTTTGGTAATTAAAAAGTTAACTAAAAAACAAATGACACAATATAATACATATATATATAAAAATGACATGACATATATATTGCGCGCCATAGTCATAGTTTTGCACTTAACAATTCCAGTCTTGTTTGCAAAAACGTCATATTATGTTATTGATAATGCCTCAGAATATATATGTTATTGATAATGCCTCAAAATACCTGGGGGCACACCCACATAATACTTTAAATGTGGATTTGCAGTGCCAAATTCCTGTACCAGTTTTGTTATCAACACCCTTCAGAGAGTGGTTTTTATCAAAACTTTCTATGCTTATCAAAGGAAAACTCTGGTGCGATATTTAGAAAATAAAAATTGAACTGTCACAACAAGGCAACAAGAGACTTCACAATGAGCACAGGCAGTGTCGTCAAAACGAATTTAATTTCAGAGGGTCGCCTATTGTATTGCTTCCCCTTTAGTAAACTACCATAAAGGAAATATAGTACAGGTTGACAATTATGGGGGACTCCAACTCTTCTTTCTACGGCCTTGCCATGTAGGGGAGATACTACAAGTCTTAAACCTTGTTGCTGGAGAAACTACTACATGATCATTAGGTAGCTCTTCGGGTACTCCTTTTTCTCTCTTTCCTCTCTGTCAGCATTTTCAAACATAAAAAACAACCAAAATGCTGATTTTTCAGTTCATTTGATAAACCTTTGAAAACAAATGTTATACACAATTAAACTACTTCAATATCTCCCGCCATGTTTGATTTTTTTAAATAATTTTCTTATTTGTGAACCCCAGACATTGATTTTCTGTAAAGTCGTGGAAGCCAAATATTGACATGGACCCAGACCCATTCCTTTACTCTTAGGTGCCTAATAGACGGAGGAAATGGAAAACCGGGGTGGGCAACAAACATGAGGTGCCAAAATGAAACTCTATGGGGTACAAATACAAAATAAAAGTGAGAATGTCTTTAAGCAATGCACAAAGCTATGTACATATTTGATTCTCTCACTTTGTTCTTTTCATTTCATAGTTTTCCCATTTGAAAGTTTATTGTTAGTTGAACATGATTCCTTAGATTCAAAAGTATTTTTCAAAGACCAATACAAAATTACCTCCACAACCCATAAAAGGAGCAAACATTTCTGATAGACCATTGACTACAGAGGCGACAGAATTATCGGATGTAGCATCCTCTTCGACTGCGGTAGTAGATATGGAAGGCCAGATAAGCTATCACATAGAACCAGTGTGTCAAATTATTGATCCGTCACCGGATACCACAATTTGAGAAATACATAAATTTTCAAAACTTTAAATGTTATTGCCGCATTTACCAAAAAGAAAAGAATCTGTTGATGCGATTCAGGGGTTAGTGATTCCAAATATGACTCAAACTGCTTCCTGTGCAAAGCTTCCAAGACAACTATATGAGAGCGAACAATTCTGTTGTAATGATTGCCTTTCAGTTCACCATTGAATGAGCCAATGGAAACCACCTCCGATTCAATAAAAATATCCTAAAACAGAAGTGAAAATTTAAAAATTTTGATTTTCTTTCAAAGTAAACATACAAAAAGCATGAATTGATGATATAAGAGCATAGCAGTCATTTTGTGGAGGGGGATGGGTATAAGCTTGTTTGAAACTGAATTATTCTTTTGCATATGACATTGCCTGTAATAATATATTTATCTTTAAAAAAACTCTTCTCTCAAGTTGATTTATTCTAAAAGTGGCCTTTTCCATCTGTCTAAAGTAGCTTACATCAGATGAGAACTGTGGAGCCCTTACATAATTTCCTAAAACACACCCTCCTAAAATGTGTAACACTTTTTTGGAGATAGTTTGCGAGTAAAACTAGATTTAATTAGAACAAAAAGTTTTACCTTCAGTCCTAAATCTTTAAAAATCTTTCAAATAGCTCCAAGGAAACACATGGCCATGTGAAATTCACCAAGCTTGATAACAAATCTATTCAGAAAGCATTATCCTTCCATGGAACTATCTGTATCTTGCAATAAATTGCTTCATCAAATACCAGACGCACATATTTGAGATCTAGATGTTTTGCAATATTAGTGCTTCTGTTTAGAATTTTTGAGAGAGCAGTGATATCATTTGAATGCAGCATAGTAATAAAATCCGTCTTATTTGGAAAAGATTCATTGAAATAGATTCTGTGGTAGTCTACAGATCATATTGAATGGGTAAAGTTGTTAGCAGGTTGAGGAAAGAAATGATGAAAAGAATGCAGCATTATCACGGTTTTGCTATTAGGCAAAATAAAGGCAATTTGGAAGAAATGTATACAGCAATTCTGGCAATAAAACGCCACCTTATAAGAGAAGATGATGCCTCACTTGGTTTCAACATAGATTTTGCCAAAAGATACAGGCTCTTGGTGTAAATATTGGAAAGACCAGCAGCATGGTACCAAAGAGTACACTGACTCAGGAAGGCTGCCTAAAGTCTTCTTAACTGAGCTGGGTCCCATTTTTTCAAGGCTTAGTCAAAGTGCTTACTCAAGGCTTACTCAATAGATACTCGCTAGGCCTAACTCAGAATCAAAATGAAAGCCTAAATGGCTTACTCTGGGCTCGTCTTTTGAGGGCAGCATTTTGTGGTAGGAGAAAGGTAAAGGAGTTTGTGGGGAAAATACTGAAGCTACAAGTAAGGCAGTAATCATGAAAAAAGCTGGTATTGACATTGGAAGCAATATGTTAAAAGGGTAAAGGTATGAGGACAAAATGAGAATTAATTACTGCATGTAAAATATCTTTAAAATATAGAAAGCAACCCAAGCAGCTAAAATTCAATAAAGTGAAATGTAAAGCAAAAAAAGTTTCATACAAAGCAGGTAGCTTTGGATCAACCAGCAGACCAGATGGAGGAAGAGTGAAAAAAGGAGATAAATCAGCCATAGCTCCAAAGCTAAACTAAAACGCAAGAAAAGAGGTTTTGTTGAAGTAGTGTAGAAAAAGAAAACTTCTTGTTTTCAAGTTGAGCAGGAAAATGTCGATCATGATGACATTTGAATAATAAAACAGTTTAAAATGCTTCAGAATGTCTTAGAAATTCAGATTTAATTGATGTTTTGCCTATAGGTACCTCTAACTATCAGCACGTGTACTACTAAGTAAAACCATTGACAGCCAACCATTCTTGTGCTTACAAAAATATTTAACCGTGTTTTTCTCAAAAATCAGTTTTCTCAACCTTTTCATCTTTAGAAACATCTATTTTGAATTTTTTTTTGTCTTTTGAGCTGAAAATGTGTCACATTACTTTAAAAGGCTGCTTCATTAAAACGAATTATCAGAATTTTCAAATTTTGTGTAGTTCTTACATTACAATGAAAAAAGCGTTTTGGGGGCTATAAACTTCCCCTTTTGTCATTTGCCCCCTGTTTCCATTACAACAATGCACCCTTTTTTGCCAAATTTTTTTTTTCAGATTATAGAAAAAGATTTATGGTTTCAACTTTAAATTTGTATTAAGTTTCGATAAATAGAACCCTTTTTTTCTTCAAGATGAAATAAAATGTGCATGGAAAATTATTTACAGTATACTGCCACCTTAAAGGGGATGTATGTCTATGAAAAAGACATTTAAATGAGTAAGGAAGAGTGTAGCAACGATATGTCCATGAGAATGGGAACATCATTTCATAACTGGTTCAAGAATGCAAAGCACTAAAGCAATCAATAACTGGCAAGGGCAATAACGGAAAAGATATTGAAATTAAAATATTATTATGGAAGGGCAATAAAGGACAATACTCGTGGCCTTATACTTATGAAGAAGAGAATTTTTGCAATCCTTTTCCGCCTGACATCAACTGACATTAATCAAAAAGCATCACCATTGCCTCTCTGGAGAATAATTGTGATGCTTTTGAAAAAGGCAGAGGCCAAAGAAGACATTCCAGGATCACAGAAGGAACAGGACAACCCCTATTTATGTTAGCAAGAAGCTTGTACTGTCTTCCAGCGCCTAACAGACAATGGTTTGTTGGAATGGCAAAAGAGAGGTGCCACTCAGAACGATAATGAGTCTTTGAACAATATCAACTTCCTGGATGTAAAGATAGTTAAAAACAACCAACTCATAACAGATCTTTACCAGAAACTCACGGATAGCCAACAGTATGGTAATTTAAATCTTGCCACCTACCACACACCACACACCACACACCAAAAGAAATATTCCATTCAACCTTGCACGACAATATTGCACAATCATCGAGAAAGAAACTTAAAAAGAACACACCTACTTAATTTAAAATCAACACTGTAAAAGCCAGACTATCCCAGAAATCTCATCGAGCAAAGTATTCAGCAAGCAAATAAAATCCCTTTAGAAGAACATCAAGCCATTATCCTTTGTTGCTACTTTCAATCCCCGCAACTTCAACATTTTCAAAGTTATAAAGGAAACAATTTCAATGCTTGACGCAAGCTCCAAAATGAAGCAAGCGATGTCCAAATTCAACCTTATTAACCGAAACGAGAGCCTGCCAACATCAAACAGATTCTTTCAAGAGCCAAATATTGTTCAAATACAATAGTGTTGGTACAATAAAGTGTATGCAGTGAGGAGGTTAAAGGAAAATTTCCTGTAACAGTAGTTATTGTTAAAAGTGTAACTCAATTGGAGGGTTAAAAGAAAGCCCAGGAGAAGGTGCTGCTAAAGCAGGCGGTAATGCAAGACTCACAGAGGCTTCAAATGATATGTGTAGCAGAAAAAAGCACCTGTCTAAGGAGAATAATAGATACGCAAAGAACATAAAAAAAGTGCTAGTGGCAGAAGGAAAAAAAGAGACGAAAAATAATAAAAAGGAAAAAGAATGTATGCAAAGAAATAGCCTGAAATCAACATGCCTACTGTTTATGCCCTTAGGAGAAAAACTGTTTAGCTTATACTGCCAGAAGCTTTCTCGCATCCTATTCCCCCAATAATCCTATCAATTATACTAACCCTTATATCCTGCAGAAACCCCCGGTGGCCTTCTCCAGAAAAGTGCCTGAAAATTCCACCTTAGGTACTGAGGATCTCTGACTAAACTTACAATTACATGCTTTATAGTCATTAAGTACCTCATTAGCCAGCAATGGACTAGGTTTAAGTACCTCAGTCTAAATAAAGCCTTTGGTGAAGCTTTAAAACTAGGTCTACATTTCACTTTATCTAGCACTTCAGATTACGTTAGGAAACCAAGTTTCAGTTATACAACTTGAATAGTTACAAAGTTACAGTGCAAGACCCAATATAGGACTGGGCACAAGAACCATAGTTTAAAAATTGCTTTTGTGAAATTTTTGAAGCTTTTTTGTATCCCATTTTATCCAGCACGTTAAATAACGTCAGAAAAAAGTTTCAGCTTTATAACTTGCAATGTTCAGAACGTTGTAGTGCTATACCAGAAAGAGAACTGGGTACCAGTACCCTTGTCCAAAAATAGCCTTTGGGGACTTTTTTGAAGCTTGATATGAACTTCATCTTATTCAGCATATCGGATTGTGTACTTCTACCAAACTTCATGCTATTTTCATAACATGCACAATTCTACTACCTTGCGTCTAAACTATCAGGAAACTCAAGAAAGCAAGTTGTTTGACAAAACGAAAAGTTTACACAGACATAACTTATTGGTTTAGGTCAGATTACATTGCTCTTTTTAAATCTTTTGCTTAATTTTTCATGTTCTTTCCGATAGTATCATCAGATTTGAAAAATTCGAAAGTTGAAATTTTGCCGACCGTGCATTTTTCATGCCCCTGAAAACGCAACTTCTGGTCATTTGCCAGAATGTTCCCAGGGCTTAAAATGATCAGTGGCCCTTACTCTTATGATTTAAACCTTAAAAACTTCGGTTACCCAGTTTGCTGGATTGTTATGCAAAATTCCTTGTCTATCTGGTTGCTCTTCTCCAATCCTGTTTAATAATCTAACCATGACGATCCCAAACAATGGTAGAACTGTAGAGAGCACTTTTGAAAATCCATAATAAACAGTTTTTGAATCCAGTAAATTCTAGTTCCTTACTGTTGCCAACATGATTATGCCGAGACAAAAAGGTTATTATCAGCATTATAAATGCTAATTGATCTTTTCTAAAGAGTGTATCAAACTAGTAATAACCTGAAGTTTCAGCGTATTGTGTGAAAACATGGTTCGAATCTCACTTAACTCTATTATGAATTGATAAAATGAACTTTCCAAATCAAAAAACCATAACTATTGCCAATACCTTTCTCCTGTTAGACTGCTTAAGATAACCAATTTGTATTAAGACATAGTATGGTCGCATATTGTGCTACTTTCACTCCACCTTTGTTCAAATAATGCATAAAATAATATTATATAATATAAATGATAAAGAGTGGTTTAATCTATAGGGTTTACTTTCACCTACCTGATTATTCAGGAATTATGGCAACAAGAAAAATAAATTCAAAATTTTTCATTATTGGCCATGCTGTTTTGTCTGGCATCTGCAGTGATCACAAGTTGTTTATTCTGATCCTTTAACTCTGCCAAACAATCAAACTGGTATTTGTTCCAATATATGTCAATGGCAGAAAACGAGAATTCCCTTGGCGCAAAGGAAAATCAGTATAATATTTGCTCTCAATAGTCTTGTAACGTTTTTACTTCTATTAAGGTTTAGTTCCCTCTCCTTTTTTCACAAGATTACTAGTTTCCATAAGTTTCCTTTTCACAAGGCCATAATTTCAGCTTATTTTATAAAACACTTAGGCTTTGTGGTTTTCCAAAGGCCTTTGAATGTTCTAGTTATTCCTCTTCCCATCAAATTAGTAGCCACTTTCAGGACTGCTTGAAAAACTTCTTAAAACATTTCACCATACTCTTATATTAACAGGATTCTTCAGTCAATTTGATGTTGGTAGCAGTCACTCTGAAAACTTTTTAGTTGCTGTTGCTTCTGTTAAAAAGCCAATCTTAACAACTGTGTCGTCACAACAACCACAGATGTTGAGCGATATTCAAGAAATATAACTATATACATATCAAACTGCCTTTACATTGTGAATTTCCATGACCTGGCGCTTCACATTTATGGCCAATGGTACAATTAGATAACTGGACCTTACTACCAAGTCTAACAATAAAACTTAGGGGCAAAATATGAATTGGGTCTCTATCAAATATTGTTTAGTATATCAGACTGTCTTTATATTGTGAATTTCAACTTTCTATGACCTGGCATTCTCTGTTTATGGCCAATGGCATGATTAGGGGCACTTGAATCACGTAGATTACTATTGCAACTGAAATATGTTCATAAAATGTTTACAAATCAGGTTGCTTTGGACCCTAACGTTTTCTTTTCCCCTGCAAGTTGTTCAATGACAAGGAACTCTAACTCATTGAAGATCATGCTTAAATTTGGAAGGGTTGATGCTGTTAGGTTTTCATTTTTTCATTCAATCGTTTCTGTATGGAATAGCCTGCCATACAGTATTGTGATGCAGGCAAATTCGGATACCTTTTACAACCTATGACGAAATCATCTCAGTAAATTTTAATTTTGTAGTTGACTGGGCAGACATTTGTATGACCCAAAAGGGTTGTTAAATGTAAATGTAATGATGATGTAATGTTCGCCCGCTATCAAGTAAAATTGAAAAGCGAAGATAGAACTAAAAAAAGTGGCCACAACCTGGCCAATTTAAAGCTCTGGATCTTTACATAGACACATGCAGACATCAAATTTCTCAAGTAAATTTCAAAGCTTGGCATAAAACATCCAACCTTACTAGAGGCGGAATGGCAAGCCTTGAAACATCTTAAATCAAATGATGATATTGTTATTAAGCCAGCAGACAAAGGTGGTCCTATTGTTGATTGGCGTAAAGATTTATATTTTCAAGAAGGCAGTTCACAACTCAAAAAGTCATGCTATGACAAACAAACTGCCAATTCTACTAAATCTTTCAACAAAACCGTCATCAACATCATTAAAGAAAAAATCAATCTTGGCAACCTTCCTGAAAACGCTACTAAATTATATTTTCAACATCCCCGTGGATCTGATTTCTATATGCTCCCAAAGATACACAAACCTGATAACCCTGGCCGACCTATTGTATCAGCCGTCTCCTGTCCAACATCACAAATTGCAGCCTACTCTGATGGCATATTTACACCCATCAACCAACAACTGCCTACGTTTGTCAAAGATACATCCCATGACCTGCTTCTTTTCAAGGATTTTAAATTTGAAGGCCCCAACAGATATTTATTTACAATCGACATTAATCCCTTTATACATGCATTTCTCATGCTGATGGATTAGAAGCACTAAAGTTTTTTCTCGATCAACGCCCTAAACAAAACCCACCTACCAACACTCTTCTTTGTTTAGCCAAGCTTGTGTTAACTACGAATGCATTTCGTTCAATGGCGATTTTCACCTTCAAACAACTTATATCGCTATGGGAAGTAATCTTGGTCCTAGCTATGCATGCCTTTTTGTTGGATACCAGGCACACTTGATCTACAGTTCACATGATGGTCCTTTCTCTTGCCTATTCAGGAGATACATTTATGATATTGTGGGAGCTACGTCATTACCACTTGCATGTGTACAAAATTTCATCAACTACACTAGGAATTTCCATCCAGTGCGTCAATTCACACACACCATCTCCTAGTACAGTGTACCCTTTTTTGACATCCTGCTCACCATCAAAAACAACTCTATTTCTACCTCTATCTTCAATAAGAAATCAGATTCATACTGCTTTCTTGACTACTTTTATCCCATCCTCAAAAATGCAGAAGTTCCATTCCTTACACCCAAATCGATACCTGTCTCCTTGATTAGCTCGTGAACCTTTTCCACACAGTCTTCCTTGGCGTTGCAGCTTTGCATTTGGACACCATTGATTCTCAGGGACATTCATGACTATACCGTTCGCTGTCAATCAATTCTTGCTTCAAATTGCTTACTAACTTTCACAAGACCCTCCAGTTGGTCAACCCTTTCCTCAAGATTTTCATTTATTTGGTCATATTCTTGACATTTTAAATCAAATTTTTTTTCTATCTTGTTGATTGCTTCATTGATTCACTCCTTTTCCGGTAAATCAGCAATTTGTTCTTGAATAGGCATCTTCATAAAGAAAAACGAAGTAATATCGAACTAAAATGCCACTTTCTGGAGCATCCAAAATACGTTTCTAATACTGTTGACACGCATCGCACACCAATTTGACTGCCGTGAAAGACTTGAAGAGCCAGGGGTTGACAATGTCGAGTAGCTCCCATCTCTGTGATCTTCTAGCAGTGAGGCTTCATTGTCAATGGATTCTTGGTCATCACTGAGGTCAATTGGACTTTTTAAAGTAGGGTGTTGAGACGTTTCCTGAAGAAGCTCTTCCTACCATTTGATCTTTCGGGAAAAACAAGGACTGAGGCCACATACTTTCATATTGGTCTGGTGGAAAACCAGCATCACCAGAGTTTCTTTTGAGTGCCTTTTCCAGCTCTCTCCTGAAAGTATCTTGCAAACCTTCGAATTTTCTTTTCGCAAAATATTTTTCAACTGATACAGTTCAAATGTCCCCCACCCCCTTACAACTCAGAGAACAGAAAAATCTTAATTAGGCCAACCATAGATATTTATACTCTACATTTTTTCAGGTTTGTGGCATTCGCTTGGATATAAATTCAGGATGGGAACGTCAACCGTTTTGTCAGTTGTGAAGCAAGTTTCTGAGAACATTTAAACATATGCCAGTATTATAAGATTTTTTGGATGTCGTTCAGAAATTTTATAAAAGATGAGCTTTCCAAACTGCTTTGGCTGCATTGATGGAAAACATATCCGAATTAAGTATGCCTCTCAAAATCTGGTTCACTTTTCTACAATTATAAGCAGTATATTTCTATCATTCTCCAGGGTTTGGCAGATGCAGTGTCGATTCCTAGCTATAAATGTAGGGGCTAGAGGAAAGCAAAGTGACGAGAATCTAGTTTCTACAGACGTTTACAAAATGATATTTTCGAGTTATCGACAAATCAAAGACTGAAAAAATCTGAAAGGAATTTGCCTCTGGTTATTTTGGTGGATGAAGCTTATTCATTACAACCCAATATAATGCGTCCATTCCCAAGTGCAAATTTGACAAATGAGAAGACTATTTTCAACTACAGATTATCCTGGCAAGATGCTGTATTGAATGTGCTGTCGGGACATTAAGTAAGAAATTTAAGCGATATTAAATAATTGATGTCAAATGCTGTTTTTCTTTCCACTCGCAGCGAACAAATACCCGAGAAGTAATCTTGTCGCTCTGACCTACTGGGTTATTGGCTCATTTATTTCACTTCGCTATTTTTCTTTCAGTGTGTACGCAGATCATGGGTTTCGTGACTGTCATCCATACAATAGCACAACAGAATGCATCACTCTTCAGAGACTCTTTTCGCAAAACCTCTTGTAACTCAAATCTCTCAAAAATGAACTTATGGCCCTTATGGAACTTATGAACTTTGAGCAAATATTTGCAGATATAGAATCAGTGAGATTTACTGCCTAATACCAAACATTTTGCAGAATTTAGATTTTTTGTGTCAAATTTAAATTTGAACATGTTTGACATCAATCATTGTTTATCAACTATTTGAAATAGATAAAATTTTAGTTAAAACATAATTAAATGTTTTATGTCATAGGTTAAATGGAACATTCTTTATGATACCTCTCCAGCTGGTGACCATTACATAGAACATTCTTTATGATACCCCGTCAGCTTGTAACCGGGATATCTATTTGCAGTACAAAACTTTCTGAATGTCAAAAATTATCCCATCAACCCAGTAAAGGACATACATGCATCTTTTGGTTTTCAATGAACATTCACAGATCTTAGGTGGCTCTCTATTGCTGCCTAAGAAGAAGTAAAGGAAGACCTTGAATGAAAATGTTAACAACCTTGGACTGGCATAGGATATTATAGATTTAATTATTGATATAACTGTAGATAGTAATGCTCTGCTAACTATCGCTGCTGACTGAAACTCTCAAGAGGATAACTGGAAATGCAAAGAGTATGGCAAAGTACATCAGAACCTAGTCTCATTAAGGGAACAAATGCTCGCATTGGGAAAAATGTTATAAAAAGTCAAAAAATTTGAAGAAGTCATCTAAAGTTATTTGGAAGATGCAGGGAGGGATAAAAGTGAAGAAGCAGTTAGCAGCAAATTTAAAATGTGATTCCCCAGTGTTCTTCTGGTATGAATGAAAACACCGAGGATGCAAACATACAGAGCAATCAACTTCCAGAAGATCACCTGGCTCGATGTTCAAAGTGTGGACTTATTTTAGTGCTCTTCGCGTTGAATGATGACAAAAATGGAAATTGGAGGAGGATTCTTTGCCTCTACAAGAAATTCTCCTCTATAATCAGCTACATCACTATGTTATCAAATGAGATGCCGGCGCATGCGCTACAAGACATTGCGGACTCTGCTGCGAGTCATCACAATGCATTTCACAATCTTCCAAATTTGTGAAAGATTGGCAAGTTTACAATATTTCAATTTCTAGTTGATTTGGGAAAAATCAAAAATTTAAATTTTGATGCATAGTTCTCAAGAAATGTGAGAGTCAGAGAACAAAACTGTGTCTGAGGATGGAAGGGGTCTGAGGACCATCTTTTAACAAAACTTTTTTAAGGGATAACTACAAATATGGGTAACATGGCGGCTCTTCTCTATCAATTTTCATGCTAGTTTGGCAATTGGCCACCAGCCTGATCATCACATTTCGACCGGAATGAGCCTCATGTCCACCAGACGTCTTACTTTGCCACTAGGCATTTCGCTTCATCGTCCTCCAGAGTAAACCCAAACAATAAACTACATTTATCAGACCCTGACGCATCCAAGCCACCATAAAAGTGTAATGTTACAAATGATTATAACATTGATGAACACCTTAGCATTCATGCAGATGACCATACTGATTCACTTCTGGGTGATGCCCAAGATCTATTAGAAAAAACTAAGGCCAATAAACAAAGTGAGCCGACAGGGCCATCAACTTCAGCAGAACCAGACACATCTCAACTTCTTGATGGCTTAAACAAAGCTCTTGAAACCTCTGACTATCTCTGCACTAAGGTAAATGATAAATTGGCCAAGATAATTAAAACGCGTTGGGAAAAGACGCTAACCAATACAAAAAATCTCAATAAATACAAAAACCAGCTAACTGTACGTCACTGCATCCTATGAAGGTCAACAAAGGTACAACATGTCTCCCTGTCATTGGATGCAATTGAACTGCTAGGTCACCTGACTGGAAATATCTCGTCTCTTAGACAAAGCAATATGGAGCCCCTTCAAAGACAGGAGTATCAAGCGCTTTTCTCCTCCATTTCTGAAATCCCACATGGTCCCTACCTTTTTGGTGACGATTTCAATAAGCACCTAGAGGAAGCTGAAGAATCAAACAAGGTTGGGAAGACTTTCAAGGGAAACCCCTACAATAGCTATAAAGAGCAACCTTTTAGCCAAAGTCTTTCCCAGCAAAGCAACGCAAGTTGTGATTTTTTAGGATGTGGCAGCCAGTGTCAATTTCTGAATAAACAACTGTACTGAGGAAACAATCGGTTCCAATACAAATCTTGCCAAGCACAACAACCAGGGAAAATATTTTGATTGATTTGCAAGAGTCAATATGACTGGATTTATTGCTTATTGGCCTTCCCATCTATCCTTGGCTTATTTTTAAAATTCCAATTGAATCAAGGCTTATTTTAAAAATTGTTGTCACAATTGCAACATAGCTAGATTTGAACAATTTTTTTGCGGTACAGAATTTGAAAATGGCTTTGAAAAAAGCAAACATTTTACAACATACTTAAAGCTTTTTCGTCTGACACTCCTCAGAGCATAAAACGTCAGAATAGGTTCCGAAAAACATGTTTGAAAAATATATACCCAGTTGTGGATCGAAATAGGCCAATCAGAAAAACGCAAGCACAAGACCGGTATAGTTGACCAATCAGTGCCGCGAGCCTAAAGAAAAATTACCAATGGAGTCCAAGAGAGAAAACGAACTCCTTTTGTCTACACAATGGCGGCTTTTTCGTTTTTATGTAGATTGACTCCAAAACTGCTAGATGGAAGGACGACCGGGCTCTGCCAATTATCCGAAACATGTCGTCATTATAGAGTTTTGCACAATCTGGGTTGTCTAAAAGATGTTGACCAATGGCAGAATCACTTGTTTTAACAGTGTTTCTAGACCTACAAGATCGAGGAGGCTGTTCTCTTTGAGGGGCAGTTTTGTTTCGTATGTTGGAAGGAACATGCTGTTTTATCCTATCCCCCAATCTTTGGGTTGTGCGCCCTACGTAGCCAGAATCACACTGGCACGTAAATTCATAAATGACGGAACTTTTTTGTTTGGTAGGGACGCAATCCTTTTGAATGGATGGAAGGGCTCTCCTAGTGCTGTAAACAATCCGAGGATTGACAGCAAAGAAACAATTGGTTATGGCTTGCCTAATTTGACTCTCGAATCGCAAGGAAGTGTTACCAATCCATGGTAGTTTCAAATAAACTGGGCACTTTTGCGGACCAAACTTTTGAACAGCCGAAAAACTTGCGATCTTCTCCTTAGTATAAGATAAAATGACGTCTTCAGGATAGCCGTTGTCCAAGAAGATCGTTTTGAGTTTTTCCAGTTCAGCGTGCAGTTTAGATTTCGAGCAGATCATAAATGCCCTATGTACTAATGTTTTGACAAGTGCCCTATGTACTAATAGCTAGATTTATTATCTTGCTTAAAAATGAATGGTCTATGCAAAGAATCTTCATTTGTTTCTGTACTTGCCTGGGACATCAATTGTTAACTTATTGTTCTTGTAAATAATTTGTGTTGTAGACTTACTGCAACCAAATTTTCTTGTAGTTTCAGCAAACAAATGACTCGTTAGACCCAAATATTTTATTACTTCGCATTCTTCTTCTTGCTGCTTTTGTGTTTTTGGCATTGAAAATAACACATTGATATTGTTAGAATGCTAGTTTTGGAGCCGCCATTTTGTTATTCATTGTCCTAATACTTTGTCATGTAAGTGTATAGTCATATGCTGTATCAAGGTCTTATAGTTAAAAAACAGGAAGCTTCAAACCAGCTTCCATATTTTTGCCGTCATAGCTGTCCATTGTAACATCAAATGTGGTGTTGTTTTTCTTTTTCCAATGTTACTTTTTGTGTGCAATGATGTTTCTATCATTAGTTGTGATGTTGTAATAGTCAGAGGCCAAGTTGAGTGCTTCGTTCAGGAAGGTTTTTGCTGATTGAAGAATAGATGTCTATGATGACCTTCAAATGCTATCCATGCCAATGAAATGCTATCCATACCAATTAAAATGGGGGTTTTTTATCTTCTTTTTAATTGATTTAATTGCGTTTTAATCTTGTGAACTCTGATTACTTGTTCAAACAGGTCTTTCGGCATACACACACACACATATATACATCACCCCTGAGAAAAATTGTGCACCAAAGTCACCATGATGCCTTTAATTCACCATGATGCCTTGGATGTGTTTAATTTTCAGCAGTGTTTCATTTCCCGGTAAGGATTTTAGAATTAGTCCTCCTTTGAATAGATTTCACCATTAAGGTGTAAAGGAAGATATTTTTTATTGAAGTATGGATTTATTGATGTGGGGATTTCTTTAGGAGGTCCTTGACTTTTTATCCATTTAGAAAATTGGACACTTCAGTCAACATATTTAATTTGTTTATGATATGAATCTTTAGCATTGTTTGCAATTTGTTCATTTTCTAGTGTTATTATCCTAGATGTTAATGCAGTGGAAGAAGAAGGGCCGTAAAATAGGATATTCAAAAAATCCTGAAATAATAACTGTATTTTCATGATGATTTTGATTTCTACAGCTCAATTGTGAAACAGAAGGGGTCCCTAAGCATTCTGTCAATTTCAGTTGCTGAAATCTTCTACTTCTTTCTAATATTCGGAATTTGGTCTTGATTTACTTATGTTCAAACTGAAATCGTGCTGTTTCAAGACAATGCTACAAAAATAAATATCTTTAGGGCAATCCTGAAATAATAACTGTATTTTTATGAAGATTCTGATTTCTACAGCTCAATTGTGGAACAGAAAAGGGCCCTAAGCATTGTGTCAATTTCAGTTGCTTAAATCTTCAACCTCTCCTAATATTCGGCATTTGGTCTTGATTTACTTATGTTCAAACTGAAATCGTGCTGTTTAGAGACAATGCTACAAAATGCAATATCTTTAAGGCAATCCTCTAATAATAATTGTATTTTTATAAAGATTTGGATTTCTACAGCTCAATTGTGAAGCAGAAGGAGGCCCTAAGCATTCTGTCAATTTCAGTTGCTTAAATCTTCAACTTCTCCTAATATTCGGCATTTGGTCTTGATTTACTTATGTTCAAACTGAAATCGTGCTGTTTCGAGACAATGCTACAAAATGCAATATCTTTAAGGCAATTCTGAAATAATAACTGTATTTTCATGATGATTTTGATTTCTACAGCTCAATTGTGAAGCAGAAGGAGGCCCTAAGCATTCTGTCAATTTCAGTTGCTTAAATCTTCAACCTCTCCTAATATTCAGCATTTGGTCTTGATTTACTTATGTTCAAACTGAAATCGTGCTGTTTAGAGACAATGATACAAAATGCAATATCTTTAAGGCAATCCTCAAATAATCACTGTATTTTTATGAAGATTTTGATTTCTACAGCTCAATTGTGAAACAGAAGGAGGCCCTAAGCATTCTGTCAATTTCAGTTGCTTAAATCTTCAACTTCTCCTAATATTCGGCATTTGGTCTTGATTTACTTATGTTCAAACTGAAATCGTGCTGTTTCGAGACAATGCTACAAAATGCAATATCTTTAAGGCAATTCTGAAATAATAACTGTATTTTCATGATGATTTTGATTTCTACAGCTCAATTGTGAAACAGAAGAAGTCCCCAAACATTCTGTCAATTTCAGTTGCTTAAATCTTCAACTGCCCCTCATATTCAAAGTTTAATGTTGATTTATTTATGTATAAACTGGAATCATGCTGTTTAGAGATAATGCTATGAAATGCAATATCTATAAGGCAATCCTGAAATAATAATTGTATTTTTATGAAGAATTTTGATTTCTACAGCTCAATTGTGAAGCAGAAGGAGTCCCTAAGCATTCTGTCCATTTCAGTCGCTTAAATCTTCAACCTCTCCTAATATTCAGCATTTGGTCTTGATTTACTTATGTTCAAACTGAAATCGTGCTGTTTAGAGATAATGCTATGAAATGCAATATCTATAAGGCAATTCTGAAATAATAACTGTATTTTCATGATGATCTTGATTTCTACAGCTCAAGTGTGAAACAGAAGGAGTCCCTAAGCATTCTGTCCATTTCAGTCGCTTAAATCTTCAACCTCTCCTAATATTCAGCATTTGGTCTTGATTTACTTATGTTCAAACTGAAATCGTGCTGTTTAGAGATAATGCTATGAAATGCAATATCTATAAGGCAATTCTGAAATAATAACTGTATTTTCATGATGATCTTGATTTCTACAGCTCAAGTGTGAAACAGAAGGAGTCCCTAAGCATTCTGTCCATTTCAGTCGCTTAAATCTTCAACCTCTCCTAATATTCAGCATTTGGTCTTGATTTACTTATGTTCAAACTGAAATCGTGCTGTTTAGAGATAATGCTATGAAATGCAATATCTATAAGGCAATTCTGAAATAATAACTGTATTTTCATGATGATCTTGATTTCTACAGCTCAAGTGTGAAACAGAAGGAGTCCCTAAGCATTCTGTCAATTTCAGTTGCTTAAATCTTCAACTTCTTCTAATATTCGGAATTTGGTCTTGATTTACTTATGTTCAAACTGAAATCGTGCTGTTTAGAGACAATGCTACAAAATGCAATTTCTTTAAGGCAATCCTGAAATAATAACTGTATTTTTATGAAGATTTTGATTTCTTCAGCTCAATTGTGAAACAGAAGGAGGCCTTA